GTCTATACCCTGACCCATTAATCTGACCGGGACAGTGGCCCGATTATCTCACTAACTAATGGCCCAATGAAAGTTCATTTCCTTCGAGATAATTAGGAAAGAAGCATTATAGGGATTTGATGGTTTGCGAGATTAATGGTTATATACACCACTATCTCGAGGGAGGGTGTTGGAGATAAATATCTCACATTGGAAATATGAATGGGATTTAAGTAATATAAGAGACATTAGTTAATCACTTACCATCAATTGATTTTAGGTTGGAAATCCAAGAAATTTAACAACTATCTTGTTTTAGAAAAGAAGTACATGATTTGTAGATATCTGATTAATATACATGAAATTCAGAAGTATCATGTACGGTACATGAAAAGATAAAATAAGATATCATCACTTTGAGAAGACGGAAAGCAGGAGCAGAGGCGCAAAGACTTAAGGTGGGGTAGTTTCCCATCATAAAAATTTTAAAACTAGTCTAATTTTATAACTAATTGAAAATATGCCTCTGTTTTTATGCCCCCTATACTTCAATATTTTGTAAAAGATTAAGAGACTAAAAAAATTAATTCGTTTGTACGGTTTCATGATTATTTTTGGTATTTTATTTAGTGATTTTTCTTTATGCCCTCCATATAAATAGTTTCTAAATCAGCCACTGGCGGGAAGCTTACATGAACTCTCGTCAGCGCTCTAACCGCCTGTTCTCCAAGTCATTTGGAAATATCGGCCCAATATTTCAACTTGATGGAAGACAATGGACAGTCCAGTCCTGAGATTTTAGGGGACATAAATAATTTAGTTATCGATGTCATGAAAATTCACTTTCTTTTTGGGCACATATTCAGAAGGAACTCTGGAGTCACATGCTTGAATTGGAGTTGTAGAAGGATGGGTGACCTATGGGGAAGTAATTCGCGATAACAAATGTGTCAGGCAAAAACACGATTAAATGTCATGTGATGATAGCGATATCAGTAAACAAGACTTTCGAACTTCTAATAAATTAATGCACTTTCCATCCACAAAATGGGTCCACATGGCGAGTGAGTTTGCGTGAGAGACCCATTATACATGAGCGGTCGGGGCATTGTTAGTGGTATCAAAAGTGAATCCAAACGAGTCTCGTGTCATGTGGGGATCACACTAACATGGATGACGATCATAGGGTGCAACATTACGGTCTGTGAAAGGGGGTGAATTATAACATCTCATTGTGGTATTTGTTACAAAACTTAATAGAATTGATTCTACATATGCCAACAAAGTGAACTTATCTTTTCAAACGCACATCCATAAAACCCCAGAGTTAATAGTGTTTGAATTGAATTAATGGAATGACGGGTGATATATCAGAAATTGATTCACCACATTGCCTGATCTGAATTTGGAATACCTTCCGACAAATGCCAGGGGTGTATCGATCATATGTTACGATACACCATGTAAACCACTTATGCTAAAGTCCAAGTCCAGACTGGCCAAGTAATGATAATTTAGTTCTCAAGGGAAATCAAACATAGGGGAATGAAAAGAAACTGAAAATGTGAGGAAAAACATGATGAATTCAAATGGTGTGATAAAAAAAGCATTGATAGTCATCAATTTGTATCAAGAATCAGGGTTCAGAGTTTAAATCTGGTGATCTGCAACATCGACATATATACAATATAGCTAATGCATAAGGTAAAGATTGATTGTAGGAAAATAATGTTTTGGTTTTAAGCAAGTGTATAGTTTGAAGCAACAAAACATAAGTTGTATTTAAGCTCCACAACTTAATTTTTTTTTTTGTCACTGAAACTTATTCTGTAAATACGCAATAAATAAGCATACAAATTAAGACCTTAAATCCCCTATATATTAATTGAGAAACATTTGAAAAGATGTAACCTCAAATTTGTAATAATTAAAAAGTAATCTTGCTTAGTTGTCAATCAATTAGCATATCAATTAAACTGACGTGGCAGCTTTAGGTTCAATTGAAATTTGCTAGGGAAAAATAATTAGAGACGCATGTAACGCATGTAACAGAATTTACATTAATATATATATATATATATATATATATATATATATATATATATATATATATATATATCCCACGCATGTAACCGGCTTCATTAAATATATGAATTTATATTTGACACATTAATACATGTCATGGAAGAAAAGGAAAATATACGAAATCATAATTATAGTAGGTAATTGATAACGATTTGCATATATTAACTATAATAACTTCATTCCTTTTAATTTATGGAAGTGTATATGTAAAATGGAAAATACTTTGTGACCAAGTTCAAACTTAATGGTAAAGGCAAGTGTATATGTAAAATGTAAAACTTAATATGTTAACTTCGGAATTTATGTAAAAATTAATATATGCAAATCGTAAATATTAATAGTAATTATGGAAGCCCCCTTACCTATTAATATTATCACCTACTATTTCATTCGACCTAATAAGGCAGAAGAAAAAATTTCTTTAAGAAATGAGAAACATTTAAAAAATTGTAACCTCAATTTTGTAATAATTAAAAAAGACTTCATGCTTAGGTGTCACTCAATTAGGTAATCAATTACATTCAATTGAAAAATAAGTAGGTCCACATTCGATTTTTATATTTCGCTAGATACATTTGTTGGTCAAATTATATGATATGATATTTATGATAGAAGCATTTATGATTGTTCCCCTAGATATATTAATATTTTATTTTCTTTCCATAAATAAAACCTACGGAATTACCATAAATGACTAATATATATATATATATGACACTTAATGATTCTAATAATAAATATTTGATAACAGTTTATATATCCTCCATCATTTTTCTTTAATTTTATATTATTAAAATAAATTAAACAATCAAATTAGCTATAAAATTAAACTTTAGATTTTTTC